GGCTGTGGGGGCCAGTTGGTGGTGGCCCATGCCTTTAATTCTAGCAATCAGGAGGCAGAGGCAGGTGGATCTCTAAGTTTGAGGCCAGCCTGGTCTACAAAGTGAGATCCAGGACAGCCAGTACTGTTACATAGAGAAACCCTGTCTCAAAAATCCAAAACCAAAACAAAACAAAAGGCTGTAGGGTGTTAGACCTCAATGGGGTGAAGTAAGGGATTTCCCCAAAGACAGAGGAGGAGCCTGGACCTGACAATCATTCCCTGGCTATTTGTTAGGACTACTGGCCATCCTACAACTGAGGGAGAAAAATCTAGGCAGGCTATCAGAGCCCTTTAATGGACTCTTATGTAGATGAAGAGAGACATGACTATCAGCTAGCTTTGTAATAATAGCAAGCCTCACCAGGCAGTGGTGGCTCATTCATATCTTTAATCTCAGCACTTGGAAGGCAGATGCAGGTGGATCTCTATGACCAGCCTGGTCTACAGAGTGAGTTCCAGCACAGCCAGGGCTACACAGAAAAAAATCCTGTCTTGAAAAACACAACAAAATAAGAAAGAAGGAAGGAAGAAGGGAAGGAAGGAAGGAAGGAAGGAAGGAAGGAAGGAAGGAAGGAAGGGTTTCAGAACAGTGGTGATGTAAGAGGCCATGCCACTTCTGTTAGGCAAGGCAGGGAACTATCTTGGCCTTAGTAGGTACAGAGGTTGAGGAACTCTCTTGCATGGGAGGGAACAAACTGAATGGGACCCATCCTGGCTTTGTCTAAAGGGAGGGAGGGTTAGCATCAGCTTAGGAAGGGCCTGGGGTATCAGTCCTTTGGTGATCTGCTCCAGACTGCTGTCCTCTCAGTGAGTGGGAAATAGGAACCTCTAGGCAGACCGCGGCAGAACATGGCCAGGAAGCCACTAGACTCTGGTTTTCGGAAGATCTAGAGGACAAGGTACAGAGGGGGAAAAGGCAGGCCTCTGGGGACAGTGAGACGCATCATTCACCCAATTCCTTGTCCCAGACGCTGGAACAGTGTCTACTCTTCACATCAGGAGAACCAGAGGCAGAACACTTGTCCAAACCGGACTTCAGAAGCCTCCAGTTCAACCTCTGAAGAAGGAACCTTCTGTGCTGCCCACAGCAGCTCTCCACTGACTCCAGCTCCCTTAGCAACCCCCCCCCCCCACACACACACATACACATCCCGGGCTCAGGACAGGGTAGAAGACGAGTAGGGAATCAGTTCAGCTTTGATCTCTGGGCTCACGGAAACCCGAATCCCTGTAGTTTGACTTCCGTGAATCTTGTTCTCCTGGGGGATGTTCCCCCAAGGGGCACCACTCAGTGACTCTGGGCTCCAAAAGAGGCCTGTACAGCTGTGGTGGGAGATGCGGGGCTGACTGATAAGACACTCCCATTGCCGGCCTCTCTAGCTTCAGAGATCAAGCTTCACAGAAACTTCCAGGAAATAGCCCTGCCACAGCTTGGAAGGCCACCGAGGACCAGAGGACGACAGCTGGGCAACCCTTACTTTAAAAGGATGCTCTCTTTGTTCTTATGTTTGACCAAAGAAAAGTTTTGTTTTTTTTTTTTTTTTTCCCCTTTTTTCCGGCAGGAAGCAGTGGCTCCAGCTCCCCGGACTTTCGCCCTTTGCCTTTCACCAGGTGCAAGCTTGCCGCAGAGTCTGCGTTCCAGACAGCTCAGAACCGCTGTCGACCGCGGGTCGTGGGCCTCAGGTCACCAAGGCAGCCCCCCACAGCAGTCACCGCCTCTTGTCGGAGCCGGGTTTTCATGCAAAGCGAGGCTGTTTCCGTGGATCCACGCGTCTAGTGGCAGAAGCTGATTCCATTTAAAACGACTTATCTCCCGTCTTCTCCCCAGGATTCCCACCCACCCTCTACCATTCCCAGCCGCGGCGGAAGCCAAGCCTGCAGCTTTTGAAGTTAGAGAATTTCAATCGGCAAGGAGCTGGCGGCACCCGAGCTGGTCGTCCCAGCGGGGGGAAAGAAGGGCAAATCGTCGGGGCTGCTGGGGAAAGGAATGCACCCGGGCCAGACACGTTTTAGGCTGTGGTTCCCCTCCCCGCCCCCGTTTTCGAAGGGCTACCCTGCTTCACGCACCTATCAGAATTTTCCTTCCTTCTTCCACTGTGTACTACATAACCTTCATAACGACAGTGACGATGAAAGCACACTTCTCATGCAGGGGGAAACAAAAACAAAAATCTAAGACAGAACAAAACAACCCGAAACCGTGTTCCCCAGCACCCTCTTTTCATCAGTCGTGAAAAAAATCCCACCTCTTTCCATTTGACAAAGGCCAAATGCTGATTCTAGAAGTGACGTTTAGTTGGATATCTTTTTCCTGTAAGCATCGGGGTGGGCCAGGTTGGAGGGGGTGTGATTCAGTGGGGAGCTAAAAACTAAATAAACGGAGGCTGCTTTTAAAAGGTGAGCTGAAGTCTGGAGAGGAATGGGGGTGGGACGAGAAGGGATGGCCCTGCAGCTCAGGTCTGGAGCTAAGAGGAGCCCCCCTCCTGGGGATGTAAGGGGAAGCCCTGCTCCATCGGGCTGACCCAGGAAGGTGACTAAGTGGCACCCCTTGATCTCACAACTCCGCTCTGCTTTCATCTCCAGGGAAAATGCTGAGTAAAACAGGATCAAACATTGAACATTCCCATTGAATGCAAAGCTGGGGGCGGGGCAGGGAAGCCCGGAGTCACTTTTGGGACCAACCTCCCTGTGAGGGGGAGGGCAGTGAGGTGGCTGTGAGAAGGTGGCTTGTTCGTGGGGGTGGGGGGCAGGGAGAGTAGGTGTCACAAAGGCAGAGCTCTGGAAGATTTTGGTGCTGCTGCAGTTGCATAGTCCCCAGACAGACTTAGACCGCAGAGAGAGCAAGCCAGGTGCTTCTGTAGGTTCTGACCACAATGAGGAAAGAAGAAGCCAGAACTGATGGATACCTCCTCAGGGCAGAAAGTCCTGGGACCCACTATTCCCACCCACCCCCATCATTGCTCTTGATCTCTGAACTATTTCTCTAGATTTCTGGGCTAGCAGTGCTCCGAAGATGGTGTATTTGGGACTCGTAGGAAGTGGGAATGTCTACGTGGACAGCACCGCTCCATGCGCCTCTGCCCTTGTCCCCCAGGCAAACGTTTGCTGCATCAGGACAGCAGCAGGGAGCAGGTAGGTTTGTCCCTCCACTTCTGTAACCCCAAATTAGAAAGAGAGAGGAAGGGTGGAGAGAGAAGGAGAAAAGGTAAGACGACGACAAAGAGGAAGTTGTAAAACTTTTCTGAGAAGCTGGGGCTTTGCCTCTGGGCAAAGAGGAGGGGCCATTCTTTTCAGCTAGGTGGGCACGTCACTCACTAGCTCACTGGTAGAAACTGTTGCGGGGGGGGGGGGCAGAGCTCGGTTTAGAAGGTGCTCACCTCCCTCCTCAAAGGTGAATCTGACCCAGCCCATCTGCCAGACTCCCCAGGAGAGTCTATTCCCTCTCCCAAACATCAAGTCCCAGAATTCCACAACCTCAGCTCCTAGGAGTTTACCTCTTCTCTTCACTGATCACTTGGTGTTTTCAGGACATTTCAATGACTTTCTCTTTTACCTCAAGCTTGGGACACAGAAAATCTCTTCTGGGCAGAGTCCAGAAGAGGAGCCTACAAGTTCAAACCCCACTGGTGTTATTTGCCACACATTCCATTCTATCTACAACTACCCTAAAACCTCCAGTGAAGGCCAGCACCTTCTCCTACCTGGGGTCCTTCAGTGCCACCATAGTAGGGCCCCTGATTGTCAGCGCCTCTTTATTTAGAACAAAACATTTATGGCAGAATCCGTTGCCTCTGAACAAATATCTAAAACACAGGCAGGAGAAGAAAGATCACTCAGACCCTTTGCCCACCTCACATACCTGAAACAGCTTGGAGGTCTGCTGAACCAAAAGGCGTTTTCTTCAGTGAATAGCCAACCCCAAATCAAGTCAAGCCATCTAGACAGGGAGAGATAATTAACAACAATAGCAAGAAACCATCCAATACTTCGAATTTAAGCCAGGTTATCTGGATGGGGAGAGATTTTATTTTTCTTAAATCACGAAATACTGAGTCAGCACCCAAGGCTGGTTTTCAAAGGGGGCGAAAAGATCTCTTGGCTCTTGGGGAAGAAAAAGAAACGTTGCTTCTCAGAAAGGAGACAGGTGGGGTTAGGGAGAAGAGGAAGGAAAGGGGTAAGGCAAGCTCAAGCTCTCCAGACTACTTGGGGGGGGGGGCGGTTACGTTTTTCAGTAGCTTGTAAAAATTTTTTTGAAGGACAGGCGGTTGCATCAGTGCTCAGAGAACCCGAGGTTTATAAGCAGCTTCTAAAGAGCATCTATGGATCCTTCCATTAGTACTAGATCAAGACACCAAGTTAAGAAAGTAGAAGTCAAACAACAATAAAATAAAATTTCAAAGCGTTTCCAGTTACCGAGTCCCGCTGCCCCTGTGGAACTCGCTGCGCGCCTTAAGCGCTCCCTTTTCTGCCTGCGGAATTCCATTTGCATCCTCTCTGCCTGGGTGTCTCCCTTTCTCAGTGTGTGTCTCTCTGTTTTCACACTCTCCTCCCCATTCGAGCGAGACCCACACCTGGCGCATCACTGCCGAGCCATTAGCTGCGGGTCTCCTTTCATCTTCGCTGTGGCAGACGTTTCTATTTATCCACTTGCGTTCGCCGAGTGGCGTCACCAGCGGTACTGTAATGACGATTGCAGCAGGAGGATGACAGCTTAGAAAGAAGAGGGCAATGGGGCTTCCTCCCAGAGGCGGTGCGGCACAGAGGAGCGCTCGCATCACAAGGTGACCCTAGCTCCCCGCTGCCATCTCCGTGGTCGCCGTCGACATCGCGCTCGGGCTATTCGGCGCCCGCCTAGTCTCCTGGCCTCTTTAACTCCTTTTCTCAACCAAGATCCCAGGGAGCCTGGGGTTAGGGGCTTACTTGGGGGCTTCCCCCCTCCCCCATCCGGAGACCCCGGGGATGGAGAGCCGAAAGGACATGGTTATGTTTCTGGATGGGGGTCAGCTTGGCACTCTGGTTGGTAAGAGGGTCTCTAATTTGTCCGAAGCCGTGAGCAGCCCGCTGCCTGAACCGCCAGAGAAGATGGTGCCCCACGGTTGCCTGAGCCCGCGAGCCGGCCCTCCGACTGCCCGGGAGCGTGGTGGGGGAGGCCCTGAGGAGGAGCCGGTCGATGGACTAGCAGGCAGTGGTGCAGGACTGGGCGCCGAGCCACGGTCTGCTGGAGCGGCCGTGCTTGGCCCCGGACCCCCAGTCCCCTCCGCGGACAGCCTCTCTGGCCAAGGGCAACCCAGTAGTTCAGACACCGAATCGGATTTCTATGAAGAAATCGAGGTGAGCTGCACCCCGGACTGCGCCACCGGGAACGCCGAGTACCAGCACAGCAAAGGTAGCCACCTTGCGCCCCTCCCCCGCTCCCCGGTCAGCCCACTGTGCCCACACTTTACTTCATCTCAGGGCAGGTGGAAAATATTCCTTTCCCTTGGGGCAGGATGGCTGCGGTGGGGGTTGGGGGGGCACCTGAACAACTCTTTTGCTTTCTGCACCTTAGTGTGTGGGTGTGTGTGTGGGGTTCCTTGTGTTATCGCATTTGTGGGACTGAGAGTGACAGCTGTGCCTGAACGTATGTCGGGGTTGACACAAGTCCTGGGCTTGAGGGATCCAAAACGCACCCCCTCCTCCAGCGTTTTGTGGGAATGATTCAGCTGAGCCGGGAAGACACCTTTCATGGAGTAGTAGGGCAAGATCAAACGCTAGTCCGGGCAGTTTGTGGCTGGAGGGGTGGAAGGCACAAGGAGGCGCGGAAGCCAAGAGCATATAAAGGACCGTAAAATCGTGGCGGACTCTGCCTCCAGAGTGCTGCAGCCCTCCGACCAGTTTGCACGTCGGTCAGAGGTCCAAATTACCTTGTCACTTCCCGGGCTGGCGGCGCCAGGTCGGAAATGGTCCCAATGGTCTAATTGCCTTTGGTCTCCGGTTGCATTTGAAAAGGCGGGGATTGGGCCCTCCCCCTCCCCCTTTCCCTCCGTCTCACTTCTCCACCCAAAGGAAAAGCAGCTGCAGGGGGCTAGAGCCCCACCCTTCTCTGGGGTGGGTCTAAGGGGTTGGTACTTTAACTACAGAACGCCTTCTCACCAGGGGCTAATGGGGATGGGGGTGGATAGCTCAGAAGAGAGTCTCTGTCTATACCTACAATATCCACTTCTAGGAATGAAAAACTGGGACCACAAAGCCCTGGGGATGGGTGGGAAAGGCTGCACCTACATCTAGGTGATGGCAGCCAATGCCACCTTGTTGAGTATCCACCTTTCTCCCCTGCCATCGTATCGTCTGCTTAACCCCCATTCTCTACTATACCATGTCCTCACAACCTACACTCAAACACAGCACTCCTGCAATATATGCAACCCAACACATTCTCACACCTGTGCTGGAATTCTGGCACACACCCAAGAGGCAAGGATGCTCACTGCATGCCCAACAATCTACAATGCTGCTCTAACCTCAAGAGTTCATAGTGTTCCAGCACATCCATGGCCATCCCTGCCAGCACGAGCAGAGAGCTCAAGGAGTATGCCCTTTGCTGTGCCCAGGGGCAAGAGAAAAGGAAAGGAGATTGGGAGCGTTCAGACACAGCATGCCTTACAGTCACTTTAAGCCTGGCCCAAACCCTCTCTGTTCCAATCATCCAAGACTTTCTGCCTGCCTGAAGCTTCCAGAGCTCCCACCCACCCCAATCAGCGACTTTAGGTAGCTTAAGGGTTATCCTAATGTCCATCCTCCAGCCTAAAGTTAGCTTTGTTTGTGTCTGTGTTGTGTCTCTGTGTGTGCACCTGTGTGCTCTGGGCTCCTGTGCAGGGTCAGGCTCTGATGCACTGGGCGGCAGTCCTAACAGTGGCAGCGACGTCCCCAAAAGCAACGGGAGCAGCGGCAGCAGCGGCTCGCAAGGCACCCTGGCCTGCAGCGCCAGTGACCAGATGCGCCGATACCGCACTGCCTTCACCCGGGAGCAGATTGCACGGCTGGAGAAGGAGTTCTACAGGGAGAACTACGTATCAAGGCCGAGGAGATGCGAGTTGGCAGCAGCTCTAAACCTTCCCGAAACTACCATTAAGGTATGCTGGGCTAGGACGCTGGAGGCGGGGAAGGAAATGCTAACTGCTTATCTCCTGGATTACAGCTGGGGAGTCTGGGCCTGAGCTCTCCAATTTGGGACGTGCTTAGTTGCCCCTTACAATCTCTACACAGCCACTGCTGCCACGATGTGATTCCGTCCTTTTCCTAGGCAAATAGACTACCAAAGCAGTCTCAAAGGACATGGCAGTGTCTCAAAGGACAGGGCCGAAATGGGCCATAAATCTGGGGGAAATGCCTTGTACATTTTTCAGACCTATCGAGGCAGGCCCTGCTTCCTGCACGGTCACTCGCAGTGGGCACGGGCCGAGTGGGTCGCCAAATCTCCTTTAGAGGCTTTCAATCTGGGATGGCGGTGGGTGGCATGCCCTTGTTCAGCGGGAGTGGGTTTTGGCTCTTCACTGCCCCGTGGGTATTGCTTCCTCACACCCACCCCAAGCTGCTGTGCCTGGGCCTCGCGCAGTCACCCAGGCCCCCATCCTCTCCTCTCCCCAGGTGTGGTTTCAGAACAGACGCATGAAGGACAAGCGTCAGCGGCTGGCCATGACGTGGCCGCACCCTGCGGACCCCGCCTTCTACACTTACATGATGAGCCACGCGGCGGCCGCGGGCGGTCTGCCCTATCCCTTTCCATCGCACCTGCCCCTGCCCTACTACTCGCCCGTGGGTCTGGGCGCAGCATCCGCTGCCTCGGCCGCCGCTTCGCCCTTCAGCGGCCCGCTGCGCCCGCTTGACACGTTCCGTGTGCTGTCGCAGCCCTACCCGCGACCCGAACTGCTGTGCGCCTTCCGCCACCCACCGCTCTACCCCGGCCCAGCGCACGGACTAGGTGCCTCGGCCGGTGGCCCCTGCTCCTGCCTTGCCTGCCACAGCGGCCCGGCCAATGGCCTGGCACCGCGGGCCGCTGCAGCCTCGGACTTCACTTGTGCCTCCACCTCCCGCTCGGACTCCTTCCTCACGTTCGCCCCCTCCGTGCTCAGCAAGGCCTCCTCGGTGGCGTTGGACCAGAGAGAGGAGGTGCCCCTCACCAGATAAGGGGTTGCCCTCGGGCGGGCTGCCGGCTGCAGGACGGACGCCATGGGGTGGTGGAGGGGCCTTCGGGATTCCTCCAGAGTCCCACCTGCCACCCGTCTTCCCAGATGCAGAGGGGAAAAGGGAAGGCACCATAAAGGACTCGGACCCAGGAGCCCCCGGAAGCGGCAGTGGCCATCGCTGCTTGGGAGCAGGAATGGGGTGGGGAAGCGGAGGTGGTGTGAGCTCCCTCTGGGGAGGCCGGTCTCTGCCATTCTCCACCGAAACCACAACCCTGTCAGAGGTGGAGGCCTTAGTTTAACAGCTAAACAAAATTCAGTAGCAACCCCCCACCCCTCATATCCTTCACCTGGGTCCCCACTCTCCTGTCAAGGGCAAGCATTGAGAAGGGAAATCGCTGTCTCTTGGAACAAAATGCTGTGTATGCAGAGCAGGTAGAGATTAATCTTCACCAGCTTTTCCAAAGCATGGCAGGGGGCTTGTTGATGGCAACGCACCAACCATTTAGGGGAGAGATGATTTACTGCTAGGGCGAATCTTGCCCCTAGGTAAGGAACTTGGGGCTGTTTCACCTTCCTAGAGCCTCAATTACACAGCATCTTTCCGGTTCTTGCCTCTACCAGACCCTGACCTCTTTCCGTAGTCCTGGCTGTGTGACATCTCTCCACCTGCAGCTCCAGCCTTCTCCCTTTCTGTTTCACGTTGGCAGAGGAGCTGCAGGGTCTCCAGGGTCCCTAGGCAGCTTCTGTGAGGCAAGCGTCTTCTCCTTTAACCCAGCACACACCCTGATTAGCAAGTGGTGTGTGAGGAGGGTTTTTGAATGTTGAATGTATGTATAATAATGATCACCACTCTGCTGGGCCTCCAAGCCCAGGGCTGAGCTGTTATAACAAGGCACCCTGGGAAGCACTTAGGGATGGAGACTTCCTACTTCCTTCTCTCATTGTCTCCCCACTTTGCCACCGGGCCTTGGCTTTCAGCTGCCAGTAGAAACCTTCAACACTTCTGGAGGATCATCCTGTCTCTACCCTTCACTGGGGTTTATTTGGGAGCCACTCACAAACTCCTGTACTCATCCTTGTAGCCGGTGTTTGAGGAAAAGGACAACTTTAATCACCCAATGCAAGCTTTACCCCACTGGGAGGGGGTGGTTCTTCCTATAGGGAATGAATTTGGTTTCGTTTGGGGTTTTCCTTTGCAGCCCAAAGAATTTGCTGTCATGATTTGTTAACCATATTGCAATAAAAGCTGAACACGATTCTTACTTTAGCATTCAAACATAATTTTTTTTTCCAGCAGGGAGCACATTTACTATTTTTGAATTGCTAATTTAGCTACCATGGACATGGATAGGGAAAGAATAAAAGAGATGAACTTACAAAATGGTCTCCTAAGTCCCTGTTGGACATTGGCAAATTCCAAACAGACATTGCTGGAAGATGGAGGGCTTGGGTTTATGTTTGGTTAGTTCTGGGAATATTTGGGACTTGCAATAGGTAGATTGGCCCCTTCCTAAGTGTTGAGTCTGTCTGGGCCTCAGGATGGATCCTTCTATCAGTTGCTCCAATAGGGTCCCCAGGGTTGCCATCTCCTTCGGGCCTTCCTACAGCCCAACCCCTGATGAGTTAAATTGGCACTGACACGTGCTGGACCACTGCAGAGAACAATGTTTGCTGCTGATGGAGTCAAGCCTCCATTCAAGCATAGGAGGAAGTTGTTGAATGAGGGTTGGGATGATCTTGGTGTGGTCCATCCATATGCTAGAAATCCTACCTGGAGGATGGAATTCTGGGTCTTTAGGGTAAGGCCTCAGGAGGATCAGGTAGTACTTAGCAATCCCCCCATTTAAGTGTGACTCATTCTGTAATCCCTACTCTAGGGCCTTCTTTGAGGCTAGGAAGCTTAGAATTGCATAGCAGGGTGGTTCTCTGCTGGTGTCTCAGCTGGGCAGGTGGGGACTCCGTGAACACCCTCTGCCCTCTTGTATGTCATGTCCCCTATATGGAGCCTTTCATCCAGCAACTACTTTCATTCTACCCCTGCCCCCAGGCCCTCCATGGTCCCTCCAAAGCCAGAGGCTCCCCAGTGCCAAATCCTAGCAAATTTTACAGTTGCTCCGAATCGGGTAGAGATTGCTTGCGACAGGTAAATGGGCTGCGGGTTGCCTTAATGCCAGGCGTATTTTCAGTTAATAGGGAGGGAAAATGAGGTGTCTGCAGCGATATTGGAAAGTACAAGATCGATGATGCGGCCTCGTGTCCAATCAGCAGCCTTTAATTGACTGTATTTTCTGGGTAATTGAGCCTCTCTTCCTCCAAATTGAAGTGGAAGATATAACAATACATCTTGCCAGGAGGAATTACTCATTACTTCATAATGAAATTTCCCTTTTGCCAGGGTTTGCGGTTTGGCAGTGGGCACCACTCCTCTCTGCCTCCCATCCCCCATAGAGCTTAGCAGCCTGCACCAGACCATGCCATCTGGCTTGACATGCCCCACTTTGGTTGGGAGAATGGAGTTGACTATGAAGACACTGTCCATCTCTAGCTTCAATTTCTGCCCATAGCAGGGGCAGGACAGACCAGGCAAGGCTCCTAATGTGGGATTGTTTTTTTTTTTAAGTGGAGCCTCTCATCTTATCTGAACTCTGTTGTGGTCCCATTTTGCCTGAGACTCTGAGTTGTGCTCAGCAAACAGGGCTAGCTAGGGTGCACCTGTGAGCTTCAAGTTCTGATCACCCCACCACCACCAGGCTTTGGGGCTCTGAGTTGAAGATCATGCTCAACAAAATTTAACATTTCACTTTCAACTCATGTCCCCCTGCAGTTTCTGAGTCCTGGCAGGACCTGCAGGACTAGAAACAAGGGCCTGTGCTCAGCTTGGGTTTGCCTAGACCTGTAAGACTAACCCCTCTGCAGCCCAAGTGTGCGCAAGACCCAGCCCGTCGCTGGCTTGTTAGTGTGTGATTGATTGCCTTATTAAAGCGTGTTCTTGTAAGTGTGACCAAACTGATTGCATTGCATATGTTTGGGATAATGCTCATTTTAAACAACAGGATAAAGCGGATGAGCTCGGCAGAGCCTCGAAGACGAAATGATTCTGGCCAGCACTTTCCCAACTCTGGCATTAAATTACCCAGTTACTATAGCAAATCACTTAGTTCTTCCATTCTTACTCCTAGTTGGGGGGGGGGAGGGTGTTGGGGGTAGTGGGGGATGGGCTTTACAGTTTGATGGTTTGACCTACCGGTGGCTTTTCTAGTCATCATAACAAATCCACCTTCCCAGACTCCCTGTAAGGAATCAGTACACATGGGATCCTCCACACTCCAGGCAGCTTATAAAAAGAGGTTCATCATGCATCCCATCTCCCAAAGGACACAGTTCTACACAGTCACCCCTAATGGAAGACTTGGGTCCCCCACAGTATGTCTCCTTCATCCAAAATGCTTTCATGGAAGTTTAAAAGACCCCTTTGTTCTCCAGGCTTTCTCCTGCTCGGTTGCTCCCATTATTCTCCAGACGGGAACACCCATTGCCATATGCCCTCCTGAGAGCATGGGTGTCACAGCGGACAGTTGTGGAAGATGTCCATACGGATGGCATACTCCAAGTGGGACCAGCTTTCTGTACTAAGCATTCTCCCCCCCCCCACAGTGAAGGATGGGAGAGAAAAAGAGTATAGCAAGGTGTGTGTGTGTGTGTGTGTGTGTGTGTTTCTAATCATCTCCACTCTCAGCTATTAGTTGCAGCAACATTTTCTTTCCATGTGCCCAGGTCCCACCAAAGAAACCCTCAGCTTGTCTCCACTCACTCCTGATGACTTGCACTAGAGCCAAAGTGCTGGAAAATTGAACTTCCTAAGGAACACCTTTGGGATATGCTGGAATTCTGATTTGTTCAAGATGATGACAGTCATCAGGACAAGTCAGAAACAATGCCACTCTTCTGGGTGTCATTTGTAAATGCAGTTGCACAGATTCGTTTGCAGTCCCCAGCTGAAACAGTTCTAGATGCATCGGCAAATTTCTCCCTCTCTCCCCTCTTCCCAGGTTCTGCAGAGACAGGCACATCAGCATGCAATAGAGAAAGCACTAAGGCCAAACTCACTATTTATTCAATGTATGGGACCCCGGAAATGTTGACCCTAGGAAAAGGAAAAAAAAAAGTCAAATCCTAACTATAAAACCCATCATAATGTCTACAAAACAAACAGAAACACAAAGTCGTTTCCAAAATTGCATTCTCAGCAAAGAAGTATGTGATATTCTGGGCAGGAGGGAGAAAGATTGCCACTTAAAAATAACATGAAAGCATTAAGTAATTATTTAAAACAAGGCTGTTTAGAAAAATATTTGTATTTATTGCAGCTGCTCAATTGGCCTCGTTAAAGTCGGCAAGCATTTAAATTGTGTTACAATCTCATTTAAATCCTGCTCCGTTCCAGCAGGCTGAAGAGCTTGAATAGACCAATCACTTCATAATGATGATGAATGAGAAATTAATTCAGATACAAGCAAGACAATTTAGGCCTTCATCTGTTTAAATAGCCTTCCAATATTATTCGAGATCGCGGGTCACAGATTGAATCAATTGTCCAATCTTGTGAAAGTCATATCCTTACATCTTCATCGAGATTATTTATAGCGCAGTGAGGGCTGCTGAAAGGTATACGCCGTTAACAGGGACAATTACTTAAAGGGAAACGTTTATAAAATGGAAAACAAATGCCAGGGTTGGTAACAAATGAAATCAAACACAGCCATTCCAATCTGGCAGCTGGAGAGAAGGGAGCGGTCACAGCCGCTCAGGAAGAGAGGCGGATTCTGACCTCTCCAGGGCCCAGGTGAGGCCAAGAATTAAGGGCGCGGTGCGCGTGCACTGTAGCTATCGCTGCCGCTGCCGCTGCCGGAGCAATCACCTTACTTTGGCCCCTGCTTGCTTTCGTAGTGCGGGAGGCAGCCTGCAAGTTTTTCTGGAACCCGCATCTTGAGGAGTAGTCTC